GGACGGAATATGTAAATGTCAGAGTATAAACCAAAGATATGTACCTGAGCTTTCCAAAATCATCAAAGCGCCTGAAGCACTGCCATCTTCTTCAACGAAATCGAAGTTTTGGGATTGGTGATAATGTTCAGGTTCAGAAAAACCTCTTCCTCATTCAACTTCTGCTGAATATGACGCTCTGCAGCACTATTACTAACGAAAATGTAGTTCATTGTGGTGTATCCATGGATCGGTAGGGGGCCAAGTATATTACTTGTCTTAATAAGTGATATTATTAGCGTACTGCAGTCGAACTTCCTGGTAGATGACGCTGATGTCAAGATCTAAGACGATATCAAAGCACTGCTGTGTCACGCAGTAGTGCAGAGAGACTTCGGCAGAGCCTAGGCTTACCTATCCCTTAGAAGGCTCCAGTACAATGTATTGAACTGCAAATCTTGAAGCATACGACGCCAGCGTACCCATGAAATCCGCATTTGCAGAGTAATCGGATAGTAAGTGACCTTGGTGTATTTGTACAAGATGACGACCGACATGACATCGATACGAGCCAGTCAGCACATTGGTCTCATACAGTTGCGTTCGAGAAGTTCGAATGATCTATCTTTCAACAAATGCTGGAAGCCTATGCGAGGCCGGGTGTGAAATACGCCCTTGAATCCTAGGGTAACTAAAGCAAACATGAGGTTGATGCGCTTGAAGCACCATAACCAATGGTGATCAAATTCTTTAAAGGATCGTTTCACCTCCCTAACCAGCACAGGCTGTAAGGTGTTGGCTTGCAAGATGATGAGTATCGGTATAAGCAAGGAGACACACTAGTGTACTTAATACCGGCAAACACCAAAGATGAATTTTGCAATCTGCTGAAACACAGGTACGGCACTACTTTGATGGGCCACCATCTTAATCGGGTCTCCCGAACATAGAACCCACTTCCATCTTGCGCAAATTAGCTTCTACACCGAATCTTTTCAAGAACCGAGTTGACGACACGACGTCTTATTTGCATTCGTGTATATAGTTCTTATCAATCAGAAGACATCCTAACAGAACCAAACATTGTGCTCACCAGCAGTCTCTATAAGGTGCTGATAAGAAAACTGGCGTACTTCGTTAATTGAAGAGATTGGTAGGTCACTAACATCCCAATACCTGGCTTCTACCGTCATTTTACACATGGTTTTCTGTTAATTGCTCTGGTCATCTTACGTGACTAGTCAAGCACCCATTTCTTGTTCATTTTAAATGAAAGTTTTTTGTGCATTATACAGACTTCTTAGGTATGACCATCTGCAACATCCACGGTTTTGAACCTCGGCAAATGTGAGGCCATTGGTAGCAGAAAAATTATATTATTTGGTTAAACCTTTGGTGCATCGCACTAGGTGTAGAGTGGTAGTCTGCATAGAATTGAGCAAAGCTTGTTATTCTGTAAAGCTACCAACTTCGTAGACGATGCCTGTTGCGAAGTTTGTACACTACATTGATCATGGTTGCACAACTATTGTTTGCAACCCTGACTAATTGCTGGTCGTATTCCATGTGATGCTGCGCAGAACAATCAGACAAACACGCACTGTCCAAACTGCGCTGAACACTTGATTCGCCCTATCACTACTCATGACTAGCGTGCATGCATGTTCCCATGCAAAGCATTCTGGCAAAAATAAGTAAATTAATAAACAACTGTACTATTCTCGAAAATGTGAGACCTGCAAAGGTATGATCATGGTGATACAACAATGAGAACAAATGTAAAGGCCGCAACATTTTATACGCAACATAAGCATCCATGTGTTAAATGTCTATGCAGGTAGCTAAGAGCGGGTGTGGTTTTGCTGCATGTATTTGTGAATGTGACGTCCTATTTGTGATTGCTTGCGGTCAAGCGTGAGACGGAGTTCTTTGAAATCGTCATATTGGACGACCTACGTCCGTGGATTGGGTTAAATCATCCAGATGCGTGAGAGACTTCATTTAGAGTCACATCCGCCAAGTCACAGTGCTGTTAAACGGAAACTTGTGGCTTTCTATTGGGAGAATGCTTGCCAGGCAAAACCCAGTACGTCCTGGAACATTGACTCCGAACTCCTTGCTGGGACGGCGTAAACTTGAACAAACCAGCTGGCAATATGGGGAATTTGTTCGGTTAGCCAGCCAGCTGAAGTGTCAGCCATTTAATATCCCTTCGTGATTGCGAAATTTTCACATATTAAATTAGTTTCAAGTTACCGGTTCAGGGGTGCAAAGGATTTCGAGAAGCTGATTGAAAATCATTAGCTGAATTCCTCAGCAAGAAAATCTTATTCCAGAAACAAGAATTGCTAACTCACAGTCTGTGTTG